CCCCCCCCCCCCCCCCGGGCTCAGGGTCCCGGTTTCAGACCATTTCCTTTGTTTGCTTGACAAATGCGAGCTTCACGTGGCCAAGTTTAGATACGGAGACGGAAAGGAAAATAAAGAGAGTGGAGGAAAGTGTGCCTTGCTGTACCCGGGGCACCACGCCCGCGCCTGGACCCACATGTAAAAATACATATAACAAATATTTTATTGGAATTTTTTAAGAACGTGATTTAATGGGATTCTTTGGGCATGTTTTGTTGAGTTTAGCTGCATATGATCACGATTCTATTCCACGATGTGAGGAAATTTCCATATTTCACAGTTTGATGATGTTTCACGTGGATGTTGAGCCACCCCCACCCCCCTCCCAACCGGCTGGGCTGGTTAGACAGCCCCACATCTGCCAGGTTCCGATCCCCAAGCCCGTCCATTCCTCCTGGATCTGTTTTGCTGAATTTCAGCTTCTCCGCCACGACTTTTGCCCTCCGCAGAAGTTTCTATGGTTCCTCAGGTCTGGGGGCTCCGTTGTGATTTAACGTGCCCCCCCCCCCAGTACCAGCTAGAAGCTGAGATGCTCCTGTGTATCGTTATACGTAATGCCTCACGCGGCCATCTCCCCGCAGAGAAGCGGCAGGACAACGGCCGGGTCTACTTCGTCAACCACAACACCCGGACGACCCAGTGGGAAGACCCCCGCACCCAGGGGTGAGTTCTATGTTCAGTGGTCCGGTTCGGCCCGAAATCCTGTATCTGCCAGCCCATGGGAGCCATGTTTTCGACTTTTTTTTTTTTTGTAATTCGGTTTACAGGGAAATTCACGAACAAATTTATGCTTGATGTGTTTATGGTGGTTTATAAGGGAGTCCTGTTCTGTGTGTGCATGCGTGTGCGTGTGGAATGATCCACTGGGCGGGCGGTCTGTGTGGACAAGCAGAGCGACGTGCCACAAGTCTCCCAGAAAACAGAACGGCCTTTCAGCCGCTCGGCACAGATGGTTTATTGACCCAGCCTCTCTGTCAGCCACTGGGTTTTTGTTTCCGAGCAGATTTTTAAATAGTTTAAACCTGGGTTTTGACTAGTATGTAAAGAGGGGGCAGTCAGGGCTGGGAGGATGTGGCCGTGCTGTGGAGCCGCAGATTGGGGGCTGGGAGGGGCTGTTCGCTGCAGCAGCATACCGGGGCTCATGCTTGCTGCTTTCCCAGGATGATGCAGGAGCCCCCACTGCCGCCCGGCTGGGAAATGAAGTACACGCCGGAGGGGGTGCGCTACTTTGTGGACCACAACTGCCGGACGACCACCTTCAAGGACCCACGACCAGGGTTTGAATCAGGGTGAGTGTCTCTCTCTCAGTGCATGGGTAAAACATGCATCATCCTGAATACACACCCGAAGGCCAATCATCTCTCAGCTGCGGTTTACCGCCAGAGATGCAGCACGTAGGCACAATACCCGCCCCCCCCTTTCAGTTTTTGACATTGCATTGCAGTGGGGCTTGGAGGGGCATAGAGAATGTAGACAGAACATTTGCAGTGTCTGTAACCATAACCCTCCAGCCCTCCCAGTGAAGCCTGTGGCACTTTCCGATTGGAACGGCTGCCAGTTATTAGTGGTCGCCCACCTCCTCCCTCCCCCCACCCCATTCCTCTCCTGCCCGCCTCGCCTATCCACATGCAGTCTGCTGACAAGGCACGTGTGGCCCTGCCATGCAGCTCCGCCATGGGGCTCACTAGTCCCCAGCTCGCAGCTGCGTGTCAGGGCTTCGCCTCCATGACTGGGCCCACTCTCGGTCTTTGCTGCACAGCTGCACGCTGGCGCTGGTCTTTGCCACCGGGCTTCGGTCCAGTCCGCCCTGTAGAACAGACCAGAACTCCAGAAGGCTGTGCCCACAACTGGGCCTGAGACCCAAGCTAATTTCCTGTGGTCGCTCTGGTTAATGTCTATTAATTCTCGATCTGCTTATGCTAATTTGCAAGTTTTAAAGAGCTGGTTTGCCAGGTATAACATTGCAGGCACATTTTGAGCTCCTTCCATTTTATTGAAACAGAAAAATGTGTTTTTGTTTTTTACTTGCACTACCCCCCCAACCCCCCCCCCCCCCAGGTGTCAGGTGGCACCGATGAGCAGCCAGATGTATTACATGAGCTCAGAACGGCCACGTGGTCGGGTTTGATGGGCAGCTGTGTAGGAACACGGTGGAAAAATCCAGAAAGCTGGCCACCCCTTTGCCCTCCTGCTTTCTGTGGACCGTTAGAGGGGCAGAGCCTCTCGGTATTCGTACGCGATTCCGAGGACGCACACCAGTGGACCTGGCCTTCTCGAACCCCCACACTTTATGGCTCTCTTATCGCCCGTCTTCTCACTCTCAAAGGCACGACTTTTTCAGCCAGTTGCTGTACATTACACAGGATATGTCACGTGTCCTGGTGCCACCCCACAGCCAATGAGATGCCCCTGTGTGCCTGGATCATGTAATCCATCCATTATCTAGTACACAGTCGTCTAGGACGTCAGAACACCTTGCTTGAGATAACGTGGGTGTCCTCCTCCGGTTACCATTCTGAGGCTCTAGGGCAGCATTTCCCAACCCAGTTCCCAGAGCTTGTCTGCGTTTTTGCTCCCTCCCAGCTCCCAGCACACCTGAATCAGGTATTCAGCGTTTTGATTGGCTAAGAGCTAGGAGGGAGCAGAAATGCGCGCTGTCTGCATCTCCCTGAGGACTGGGTCTCGTGGTTGTGGCCCTGTCCTCTCAGGCCTTGTGAGGGCTGTATACAGATGTTACTCATATAAGTGGATCCAGAGAGATCAGTCGTATTTGGTAACCGACTCTGAAGCTTTAACTTGAAGGGTATATTTTGTGTTTCTTGTCCTCCCTGCAGGTCCCGGCAGGGTGGCTCTCCTGGGGCATATGACCGCAGCTTCCGCTGGAAGTACCACCAGTTCCGCTTCCTGTGTCACGTAGGTCTCACACCGTGCACATGCTGGGTCGGGTTCTCCTTAAAACCTAGGACCCCCTTGTGATCACTTGCCCCTTCCTTCCTCCCCCTCCCCGCAGTCCAACGCCCTCCCCAGCCACGTGAAGATCAGCGTGTCCAGGCAGACGCTCTTCGAGGACTCGTTTCAGCAGGTGACGCTGCCGGCTGCGGGGCGGAGACGCCGTTCCCAGTGGCTCTCGGCCAGACGTCAGGCTCATGTCTCTGTGTTTCCAGATCATGAACATGAAGCCCTACGACCTGCGGAGGAGACTCTACATCATCATGAGGGGCGAGGAGGGTCTCGACTATGGAGGCATCGCCAGGTGAGGAGCACTTTGTCCCCATGTGTGTCTGCCTCACCTCAACCCCCCCCCTCCACCACCTCTCCCCATCTACCTGATCCCCCACCCACCCACCTGACCTCCCCACTCTCCCTACCTCACCTCTCTCCATCCTAACCCTCACAATCACCTTCCCACTAGACCTCATGCTCATGCTGCCGAGGGGGGGGGTCTTCCCGGGGGGGGTAGCCATCTCTCCTCCCCCATTCCCCCTGCCTGAGGAGACCCCATGTGTCCCTGTGTGTCTCAGTGGTCTCCTACCTGTCTGTCTCCAGCGTTGTGTCAGTGGTTTTACCCTATGGTAGGTGACGTCATGCTGTTCTACCACAGGGTAGAACCACGGACATGATGTTGGGAGGTGTCTGCGTGACCCCTGGGGGGGGCGCTGGGGCGGGCCCAAGCCTCCAGTCGGTGGTGGGAGAAGCTTCTCTGCGTTCATGCTTTCCCGTGTCGCGCGTTTTATGTGTCTGGGGGCAGCTTTGTGTGTGGGTGTGGGTTATCCTGTCTGCCATGGTGCCTCTGCATTGTATCTGTCTGCGTGTCGTGGGTCTCTGTCCGCTGGGGGTGGCATGGTATATGTGCTGTGTCAGGCCCTTCATTTTTTTTTTTACTAAGCTGAGGATGTGATTTTTATCCCTTAGCGTAAACTACTTTTATATATCAAAATGTATAAATAAAAATGTATTCAAAATGTAGCTGTAGTGACAGTAACTGGTATCTGTGTTTGCTGCTGTTTTGTCTGTGTCGTCTTGGTTCATGTGTTTCGTTGGGCTGCGTGGTGAGTTTGGCCTTCATTTTGTTATTATGGTTTTGTTGCATTTCAGTTCTCCTCCTGTTGTGAACTTGATTTATTTGCAAGTCCCTTCTGTTCCCCCACCTGTAGATGACGAGTCCTACTCCATGTTTTTGTTGCCTGCTTGTTCTCCCGGCTGCTGTGGTGGCGGCTCTTCTGTGTCTCGTACCCTGAACCTTATAAATTTCCTTTGACTCTTGTTGTTGCTCTTTGCTCTATACCAGCCAAGAGAAAATGGTTCAGCCCATTAGATTACTATCACGCTGTAATAGTTCCTTACTGGAAAGCCTGCTAAAGCCTCTTAACCAGAATGGTATGGCTTGTCTCCTTTCCCCCCCTCCCCGTGTAGAGAATGGTTCTTCCTGCTGTCTCATGAAGTGCTGAACCCAATGTACTGCCTGTTTGAGTACGCCGGAAAGAACAACTACTGTCTGCAGATCAACCCCGCCTCCTCCATCAACCCAGACCACCTGACCTACTTCCGCTTCATTGGACGGTTTATCGCCATGGTAAGCCCTGCTAAGGCTAGACATAATCTCACACGCTTACACACTCCCTGGCACACAGTCGCAGACATCTCACCATCACACTTCCGTCCCATCATCTGATTGGTCAGGCCAAACAGTGGTATTACTTGTCTTTTTTTGATGTCTTTCAGTTTTTTATTGGTAAATATGCCTGTGTTAGTGCCTTTGCTCTTATTGCTCAAATTTTATATGCAAAATCACTGAAAATGTTATTTCCATATTTTCCTATAGAGGATTGTTGATTGTTGACTAATTCATACTACACCTAGTGGGAGTATTTTATTTTTAGCAGTTTACGTAAAAATTATCAATGTGTGTTTGCCCGGAGAAGAGAGAGTGTGTGTGTGTGTGTGTGTGTGTGTGTGTGTGCGTGTGTGCGTGTGTGTGTGTGTGTGTGTGTGCGTGTGTGTGTGTGTGTGTGTGTGTGTGTGTGTGTGTGTGAAGCAACTGGAAAATGTCTGATACGTGTGTGTGTGTGTGAAGCAACTGGAAAATGTCCTTGTATCAGCCTGACGCACATTTGCAATCTCTCCGGGACGCTGTCCAGAAACTGCAGCCCCCAAAACAAACCCCACCCCATCAGTAATTTGTCTCCCATGCCCAAGTCGGCAAAGCATGACTTCACCGCCCCGCCCTGCCCACACCCTTAAGAGGGCTGCTATATTTAAGCCACAAAATGACTGTGAGATACGCCCTCTCCTTGTACTGAGCTAGCTAACCCTTGGTATGGCACAGTGGCTTTTCTTCATGCTTCGTTGTCCCCGGGGCCCGTCGGAATCACTGGTCCCGTTTGTCACGTACGTCACCGCATGTCGGCAGCTCGGTGTGACGAATCTTGCCGTAGTTGCCGTTAGCTCCCCGAAACCTGCCACACAGTGTGGCACACCTGTGTCTGACATCACGCCTCGACGTATCCCATAATTCTCCTCTGCTTCACTTACCGCCCCTTATGCCCGCCTGACCTCTCAGCCTCCCGTGAGATACGGTCGTCTTTCCCTTCCTCGCCATCCTGTCTTCGCCCATGGCTGTGTCGCTCTCCTTTTTTACTGGCTTCTTTTTTTGACTCTCCCTCCTCCTTTGCACGCCCCCCTCCCTGTCGCCAGTAGAACAGCCATTCCCTCGTCTAACAGCAGACTGTGAGTCACTCTGGAGAGGGTGTCTGTGTTGTTCTTGGACGTTCTTACACTAGGGCTCTGTAGAAGTTCTGTTTTTGAAGTTTTTTTTTTTTTTTCCCCCCGAACCAGTCATTTGCGACTAAATCTCACTTTTCATATATATTTTTTTTGCATTAAGGGATGGGAAAATTGACTAAATGTGTGCATTTATGTCTCTTTACGATGGCCCAATTTAAAAAATAAAAATCCCAATAAAATCTCTTAATGACTTTAGAAGAGGGGCCAATGTAGAACCCCATCCTCACACCTGTACCCGCCTCCTAACCAACCCCCCCGCCCTTCTCGCAGGCCTTGTATCATGGAAAATTCATAGACACGGGATTCACTCTGCCTTTCTATAAGCGCATGCTTAACAAGAAGCCTACCCTTAAAGACCTGGAGTCCATCGACCCCGAGTTCTACAACTCCATCACATGGGTCAAGTAAGTAGCCGAGGTCGTAGTCGTGTTTGTGACCAGTGTGAGGAGGTCATCCACCGAAATATCGGCTGAAGGGGCTACTTCGCCCCCTGAATGTGTGATCTAAAGACCCTGCTTGTGCATTTAAAGGGCTACAGATTTCAAAAGCTAATGACTGAAATGAGGGTTATAATTTAAGTCACTCTGTAATCAGCACCTTCCAGCAGCTGGGTGGACGGGTCTTTAATATTAGCCAACAAATAAACATCACCTACACATACTTGTATAACATCACTGTGGCCACATGGGCCACTGATAGTAGGCGGCTTGTTATTGAACCGTTTGCCCCAATAATCTGGGTGCCCCAGTGTGGAGGACGTCGCTCTGCTCTCCAACGCCGAAGGCGCCTCCATTAAACATTTCCATGCCGTGTTTTCTTCAGGACCGGCCTGCTAGCTCAGCAGACGCTCATCTCTGCTGGACTGATGGTCGGGATATGCTTATGCGTTACCGTGCTGCGTGTGGCCGCCCCTGTTATTTTACTCGAATTGAGGGCGCGGTGTTCCTGCGATGTGTTGTGGATGACGCTCTGGTACTTTTCCTAGCTGGAAGTCAAGCCCACGCCGAGCCATTAAAAGCTGTTTTTATATTCATGTGTCATAAATATAAAGGGCCCAGTTAAGTGTGTGTGTGGTAATTATTACTCCTTAATTTGTATAGAGAGAACAGCCTTGAGGAGTGTGGAGTAGAGTTATATTTTGCCCAAGACATGGAGATCCTGGGGAAGGTCTCCACCCATCAGCTGAAGGACAACGGAGAGAATGAGCTGGTCACCGAGGAGAACAAGGAGGAGTACATCGGGTAAAGCCGCCCGCTTGTTAGCCTGGCCGCTCGGCCAGTCAGCACTCTGTCCCTTCCTGCTCCACGTCTGTCTGCTTCTGCTCAAAGCCATGGACTCTGCGGTGCTTCTCTGTAGCTTGTCAGCAGTCAAGTTAGTCTATGACTCTGTCTGGGTTGAGGGTCGTTCAAAACCTCCACGGAAACTGCCAGCGGAGTCTGGGTGGCGTTCATGCCCATGTGTCGGGGAATATGATGAGACATGCAGGAAATCGGGGGATGTGGCCGTGCTTATCGATACCATAACCCCCCCCCCCACACACACAGCTTGCTGACAGACTGGCGTTTTACACGCGGCGTAGAGGAGCAGACCAAAGCCTTCCTGGATGGCTTCAACGAGGTCGTACCCCTGGAATGGCTGCGATACTTCGATGAGAAGGAGCTGGAGGTGTGATTGACTGGGGGATTGTCAGTCTCAGTGGGGGGGGGGGCATGACAGTGCTTCAGAAGCTGCCATTGAGCAGTTATTGACTTGTTGGTTTGTTAAAGTACACAAAGTGGTATGGCCTCACTATGCAGACACGTCCTCTCAGATGAAGCACTCACACTTCCCCCTCCTTTTTCCACCCCTCCGCCCCCCTGGCTCCATTTCGCTCCCAGCTCATGCTGTGTGGAATGCAGGAGGTAGATCTCAGTGACTGGCAGAAGAACACCATCTATCGCCACTATACCAAGAACAGCAAACAGATCCACTGGTTCTGGCAGGTAGGCGGCCCCGTCTTACCTCCGTGGGGGGTTAGTCGTGTAGGGCTGTATGTGATCTGTGTGTGTGTGTGTGTGTGTGTGTGTGCGCGTGCCCAAGTCCTCTGAGTTTACACACCCACACCCTGACAAACTCAAACTGCAGAGGCCAGTATAAATACAGAATTTTCTTAATGGGTCAGTTAACATAAATAATTAATCATTTTGATAGTAAACATACAACGATTATAACGATTCTTTAGAAAATAATACCTAATGTTAACTTGTAATTGGACCATGTGGCCTGGCTGGGTTTCAGCCCCCTGGCGTACCCCGTATTGTCTCACACGGTCCGTGTCCCCCCCCCCCACCCGGCAGGTCGTGAAGGAGATGGACAACGAGAAGCGGATCCGGCTGCTGCAGTTTGTGACAGGAACCTGCCGCCTTCCTGTCGGAGGCTTCTCCGAACTCATAGGTGGGTGTCGGCTGGCCGGCCGGCCGGCTTGCTGATACAGCGCCTGATAGCTGCTCTGTTGGTGTCGCATCTGCACCGGCTTCACCTTCCTCTGTTCCCCTCCCCCCACCAGGGAGCAACGGGCCCCAGAAGTTTTGCATTGACAAGGTGGGAAAGGAAACCTGGCTTCCCAGGAGCCACACATGGTGAGTGTTCATCAGTCAGGGGCCGGAATCGCGGGTCACCGCACGTCTTCTGCATTAGCTTCCTCTTTGGAGCAGCATAACATCCATCCATCCATCCATCCATCCATCCATCCATCCATTCTATAGCAAGGTCGGGGTTGGGTGGGAGAGCCTGGAGACCATCCTAGATGGGATGACAGTCCATCTCAGGGCACACAGAGCACAGGAGGGATTTAAACCTCCACCCTAGAGGCGTCAGGCAAGAGCCACCATGTCAGAAACATAACATTCATGAATTATTAGTGGATGGATGGATCGATAATTAATATGAACTGAACTCCGTTAGTCTTAATGTGCTCGTTCACATTGATCTGCTCGGGGGAAAAGAGCCCGGCGTGTAAATAAAGCTCCGTTCTCTCTGCCGCAGCTTCAACCGGCTGGACCTGCCGCCCTACAGGAGCCTGGAGCAGCTGAGGGAGAAGCTGCTGTTTGCCATCGAGGAGACGGAGGGGTTTGGGCAGGAGGGAGGTGGGAGTGAGAGAGGTAGAGGAGCCCTGGGGAAGCAGGATGCACATACACCACCTGCACGTCGAAAAGCCATAGCCCCCACTTTCAGGGGATTGGGACCACAAACAATTCTGATATGTTTGAACATACTGGCAGCAAAGTGTTTGAGTTCTGAGTAATGAGCCCCCCACCGCTGGGCGTGCTGCCTCATGGGGACAGGCAGGGCTGCCTCATGGGGACAGGCAGGGCTGCCTCATGGGGACAGGCAGGGCTGCCTCATGGGGACTGGCAGGGCGTGGGCTGCCTGTCTGTCACGTTCCCCACTGTCCATCCCAGTCTCTACTTCCCTCCACACATATAAAACACAGCACAGCGCCTCCTGTTGAAACGGCATACCGGCGGCCAGCAGAAGCCTGACTGCGCCTAATGCGTCGCCTGATGCGTCGCGCATGCGGCGAGGCGGAAGCACCTCGACCACGGGCGGCAGCAGCGACCGCCCACACGGCCTCACTTCATTTATTTTTTCCTTCATAGAGCAAAATATCTTATTGTAAATGAAATAAGCTAAATAAAATGGACAAAGAACAAAATGGCTGATGTGTTAGTGTGGGAGTGATGGTAACAGTTCCCTGAAAGCCCCAACCCAGTATGTCAGTATGGATATCACCTCCCTCCCAGTATGTCAGTATGGATATAACCTCCCTCCCAGTATGTCAGTATGGATATAACCTCCCTCCCAGTATGTCAGTATGGATATAACCTCCCTCCCAGTATGTCAGTATGG